AGTTGGTTTAATTATTATTGGAAAATGCTTGTCATTCCTCTGTAGCATCTGGTTCCCACTGGACCCTCATCATTTTCTTCACCTGCTCCCCCCACCGACCAAACTGTGCAGTTCTGCAACTGCATCCTGGCCCATCCTCACCCTTCTGCCCCCAACCCTCACCTCCTTGTACCGCCAGTATGTTTTTTCCAAGAAAAAAAATGTTATAAAAAAAAAAGTGGAATCAGAATTGGAGGAAAACTCATTGATAACCTGTGTTAGAAGCAGATGCCACAACCTGGTTGCTGAAAGTGAAAATGGCTTGAAAGCACTTACTGCAGATTAAAGAGAGACTACAGTTACATCTTAACATCAGTAAAGCAAAAGTCCTCATCATTGGACCAATAGACAGCATCATGATAGATGGAGAAAAGATTGAAGTTGTCAGTGATTTAATTTCATTTTGATTCTCATTAACACTCATGGTAGGAGCAGTCAAGAAATCAGAAAAACATGTTCCATTGAGGAAATCTGCTTTGATGGACCTCTTCAAAGTGCTAAAAAGCACAATATCTGTTTAAACACTAAGCCATTGTATTTTCAGTTGTTGCTTATGCATCTAAAAGTTGGACAGTGAATAAAGTTTTGAGAATAGACGTCTGTTGTTTTACTTATATTCATAGATTTAATAGAATTATATTTTATGTTATAGATTTTAATGTTTATTATATTTTTTATAGATGTATTTCTAAATGTGTTGATTATACCATGGACTTCCAAAAAACCCAAACAAACTAATTTATCTTAGAGGAAGTAGAATACCATGCTTCTTAGAGGCAAGTTTGTTGAAACTTTGATTCACATAACTCCACATATTTTCAGGAGAGAACAGTCCTTGGATAAAGATGTAATGCTGGCAAAGATAGGACAGTGAGAGAGAGGAAGAACCTCAGCGGAATGAATTGACGTGTGACTATCCCACTGGGCTTGAGCAGGACAGATAGGAAGGGTACAGGCTAGGGCAGGGCTCAGATCTGTTGTTCATAGAACAAGGAGGGTGTCGGCTAGGGCAGGGCTCAGATCTGTTGTTCATAGAGTAGTTATGGATGATAGAAACACCTAACACTAATTTTATCTTGTGAAAACTTTTATTCAAGATTGCTCATTTAAACAAGGTAGTTTGGCATCCTCTGTGTGCTACTTTATTATCTAATAATAATCAAAATGTACAATTATAACTTTCATATTGTAAATAGAGCATTTGCTCTTTTGTTGCTATATTCTTTTCTGATAGAATGTACATAGTGTTACTGTAGTCTTACTATCATTGTCATACTTTTTTTAAATTTTGTATTGATTTGCTTACAAAGTTGGTACACATTGTGTTTCACACTGTTCTTCATTCACATTGTGTTTCTTACAGTTATATTGTTTTTAAGGTTTTATTTTGTGCATTGTCTCACTGAGTTGATGCAAAAAATTGCTTACTCACTGCCGTCAAATTGGAACTGACTCCTGGCTGCCCTTCCAATTGGTTTCTGAGCCTGGGGAAGGAATGGAGGAGACTGACCATTTTCCTCAGAGCCACTGGTGGATTTGAACAGCCAGACAGGTGCACTTGCCTTTTTATTTTTTTAAGAGCGCTTGCCTTTTTTGAGCAGCTTGACACCCTGTGGCACTGGTTGCTTTTTTTATTTTTCAGGATTTTGTGATTGTGTTGCATGTTTTTAGACTGTGTTTTTCTTTTCTGTATAAACATTAAAAATGAGTTATTGTTGTGTCTTTTATAAAGTATGAATTTTGATTCATAGAAAAAATTTTACAACCATAATATAGAAATACAATCACAGTACTCATGTAGCTCATCGTTGTTGAGTCAGATTGAACTCATAGCTAATTCTCCATTGGCTTTTCCAGACTGAATCATGTGTGAGAAGACTGTCCATCTTTCTCCCTTTGAGCCAGTGGTGGATTTGAACTGCTAGAGAGGTGCCACTAGCAAGGCAGCTCCCTGTGAGAGTTGTAATACAGTAGGTCTAAGTATTGTATCGGTTGAGCAGGGGAGCATTGTATGATTTGGAATTGGGAAGGGAGTGTGCCAGGGTTGTATTCTCTCTCCATACTTATTTAATCTGTATGCTGAGCAAATTATCCAAGAAGCTGTAATCTATGAGAAGGAGAGTGGCATCAGGATTGGAGAGAGACTCATTAGTAACGTGCGTTATTCTACAGATAATACAACCTTGCTTGCCGAAAGTGTGGAGGACTTGAAGCACTTGTTGTAGAAGATCAAGGAATGTAGCCTTGGACACAGTATGGATTGCATCTCTGGTGTCAGGAAAACGAAGATTCTTCCACTGGACTGATAGACAGCGTCATCATGGATGGATAGATTGAAAGTGTCAACAGCTTCCTCTTGCTTAGATCCACAGTTAACACCTAAGGTACCAGCAGTCAGGGAATAAGAAGATGCATTGCACTAGGAAAATCTGCAGTTAGGAGGGACTGTTCCAAGTTACTGAGCAGCAGTGATGTCATTTTGAGGACCAAGATGTGTCTGATTCAGGCCGTAGTCTTTCCGATTACTAGCTATGCATCTGAGAGCTGGACACTGAATAAGGATGACAGAAAAAGAATTAATGTCTTTGAGCTGTGTTGTTGGAGAAGAGCACTGAACATCCCGTGGGCGGCCAAGAAAACGAACAAATATGTCTTGGGGTGGTAAGGCCGGAGTGTTCTTTTGAGGTAAGAATGATGGGACTTTGCCTCTTATACTTTGGGCATGTTGCTAGGAGAAGCTGTTCCTTGGAGAAGGACATGATGCTGGGAAGGGTGGAGGGTTGGCAAAGGAGAGGAAGACCCTCAACTAGGTGCATTGACATGGTTACTGCTGTAGTGGGCTCTTGTATGTCAGGAAATGTGAGGATGGCACATGATAGAACACTGTGCTCCACTCAATGGCACCTAACAACTACAACAACAGTTAAGTATGGGAAATTTTCCTTCCTATCTGTTACTGGTGTTGTTATGCGCCATCGAGTCCCTTGCGACCCATAGCAACCCTGTGTACAAGAGCCCTACACTCTGCTCTATCCTGTGCCAACTTCACTGTCTCCAAAACACCTACTCCCACTACCCCAATGGATGAATTGATCCATCTCATCGAGAGTCTTCATGACGTCCGTCTCCAAAGACTGGTCCCTCCTTGCAGCATGCCCCAAATATTGTCTGATGAAGCTTCAGAGTCCTGGACTCCAAGGAACAGCTGGCTTCACCCTCTCCAGGACAAACCTATTTGTTCTTACAGTCCATGGTATATTCAACACTCTTTTTCAGCACCACAGCTCAAAGGTATCAATTCTCTTTCTGCCATCCCTAGTCACTGTCCAATTCTCCGATGCATAGCACACAGTTGTGAAGACTATAGCCCTGATCAGGCACACCTTAGTCTCCAGCCTGATGTTGTTTCTCTTCAGTACTCTGAAGAGGTCCCTGACAGCTGACTTTCATAATGAAATTCGTCTCTTGATTTCCTGGCTGCTGGTACCAAGAGCTGTGGAGCCAAGCAAATTAAAACTTTTAACTATCTCAATCTCTTCACCATCCATCCTGATGCTGCCAGTTGGCCCAGTGGTGAGAATCTTTGTTTTCTTGGTTTTAAGCTTCAATCCATATTGAAGGCTGTGGTCGTTGACCTTCTGTAGCAAGTGCTTCAGGTCCTCTTCCGTTTCAGCAAGGAGGGTTGGGTCTCTTGCATAATGCAGGTTGTTGATAAATCTTCCACCAATCCTGATGCCACATTCTACCACCTACAGCCCAGTGTTCCTGCATACAGATTGAAAAGGTATGGAGACAGAATACACCCCTGGTGGATGCCCTTCCCGATTTTGAACCATGTAGTGTCTCCTTGCTCTGTTCTATACTGCCTCTTGATCCAAGTATAGGTTTCGCATAAGCACAATCAAATGTTCTGGGATTCCCATTCTTTTCAGAGTCAGCCACAGCTTGTGATCTACACAGTCAAATGCCTTTGCATAGTTTATATAGACATTCCTGTGGTACTCTGCTTTCTTGCCAAGATCCATCTGACATTAGCTATAATATCCCTAGTATCACGACCTCTTTTAAACCCAGCGTGCATATCTGGCAGTTCTCTGTTGCTGTGTTGCTCTAGTCATATATTAGGACATCTGTTTAATGAATTTGAAAATATAACATAAACAAAATAAAAAAGATTAAAAATGAAGACATTTTTATTGAACACCCTCTCACTTAAAAAAGGTTTTCCCCCCCACTTCTTGGTAACATTTTTGGTAGAACTCTGAGTTTTACAATGTTTTGAAATTAATTGCTTTTGGAGACTTAAGTTGTCAAAAGAACTATTCTGGGGCTTTTCCATGGGTATTTAAATTACTTGTTGAGTGGAATTCTGTTGAATCTGTAGCTGTCTTATACAACTTAATAGAAAGGAAATGTTTAATGATATTTTGGAGATGGGGCTTTAGGAGACTGGCTTGAACTGTGGGTTACCTTCTTTCTTGTAGGCCGACCACCAGGCCCTGAAATGGAATACTGCACCGACAGAGAATCATACTCTCTGGCTGCTGGCTTGGCTCTGGGCATGGTTTGTTTAGGGGTAAGCATAGTCTGTGCCTTCTAATGTTTCACTTAGAGTGTCTGTTTTGAAATGTAACCTGGAAACTTCACTTTGAATACCGCTGTGCTTTGTTTTGACTCAGCATGATTCCTGGCTCTAAGAGTAATATTATAATGTAAGTAATTGAGTAGGAAACAGAACATAGTGTATAGAGTACCTCAAAAGTTTGCAGTGGTGGTTCGAACTATCCCATAACCCTTTGTGCTGCCCTGAAGTTCACTCTGTTTTCCAGAACAACATTTGCTTTGTGTGACAGAATGCAGCATTATCGTAGACCCTCGTTAATGCTGTCCAAGAACCATAATACAGAATTACCAGTAGATTTCTTTAAATATAGGGCCCTGGAAGAACTACTACAATAGTGTTTTGGTAAAACTGAATTGCAGAAAATGATAATGCTTTAAGGATTTTCCTGTTTACCTTCTGAAAAGCCACCCTGTATTTGACAGGTTTAGGGTTTTTCCTCTTCACATTTGACACATGAACTAAGGAAATGACTGACACAATGGGGAAGTACTGTACTGGTCATGCTGCTGTGAGATACTGTTGAGTCAGCCGTTGAGTTGGATACGACTCCTAGCTGAACCCCTAGCGGGTTTCCAGAGGCAGCATTGAGAGAGAAACAGTTGCCCATCCTTCTCCTGTGGAGAAGCTGGTCTATTTAAATTGTCTCTTCCCTTGATCTCCCAATGGGTAATAATTACATTAATTTTAGAAATTAATTTACATTTCTTTAATTTTCAGGAATGTGTTATGGGTCTTTGGTCATACTGTTTCCTTTAACAGATGTGTTGTTTCCTTTGTCTTCAAGCATGGCAGTAATTTGATAGGTATGTCTGATCTCAACGTGCCAGAGCAGCTGTATCAGTACATGGTTGGAGGTCATAGGCGATTTCAAGTCGGAATGCACAGGGAGAAACATAAATCTCCAAGTTATCAAATCAAAGTAAGTTACAAACAAAGTAGAAATTATCAAGTTAATTTGAAAGTATTAGTGATTTTTATACACACATTTATGGGTTGATTAATTTGAATTAGTGGCTAGTATCAGCCCTCTTTTACATGAACATGTTTCTTTTTTCCTTTTTAAAAATCCAAGTTTATTTTCACTTAAAAATGCTTACAAGAGTTTTAAAAAGTCCAAAGATCAAAAACATCCAGGTTTAGTGAAGCTTTTAGTGAAGTGATGTCCACCTGCATCTGCATTGCTGCAGCTTCAGCTTCATTCTGCTCGCTCTGGTGCCTTCGATTTCCTTCCAGATTGAGACTGAACAAGTCTGCTAACATCCAGTATTCATAAAAGCCTAGATAGAACAATTGTAATGATAAAAATAAAACTTCTAACAGCAGTCATTGATATTCCAATGCAGAAAGTTTTCTAATTCTTACTCGCAATTTTGAAAGCAAATTCAGAAATCCACATTGCATGAAAAGCATACGTGTTTACAGGTATTTTGCAAAAATGCGTTCTCCGCGATTGCCTGGTCCAAAAGTTATCATCAGGAGCCTGCACCATGGGGTTTCCTGTCTGGTATTATGGAAGCCCTGGAACAGTAGGAACCACCAGACACTTGTCCAGAAGAAACCACACATGTTTCTTTTGACAGGAAGGAGACACCATCAATGTGGACGTGACTTGTCCTGGGGCCACTCTTGCTTTGGCTATGATCTACTTAAAAACCAACAACAGGTATTGGCCTTCCCTGCCTCCTGTGTGAGATTTTTTTCTGAACTCAGTAGTAAAACTAAATTGTCTAATGTGTTTATTTCTCTTGTAGTTTATCACCTTAATTAAATACTCTACATGTGTAGATTTTATTTAGATGTAATACATTTTATTTTTAAATAGTATTTGAAAATAAAATTGCCATTTTCTCTTCTCTTGCTTTAGTTGGTATTCTTGACCTCTAAACGAAACCCAGGTTTTATTTCATTAATTTTGGATATTGTGTAGGACTGTTTAATCAGAAATAATGTTGTACGTACTGTTGAACTGGAACCAACTGATAGCCGACCTTCCAGTATGTTTTCACAGCCTCCAAATAGCATGGGAAGAGATTGCCCATCTTTCTTCCATGGAGGAGCTGTTAGATTTGTACGCCCTGCCTATGGGTTGACAGCATAATTGCTTATCACTAGAGCTCCCTAAATCAGAAATTCTTGGCCATCATTTTAAAAAGTAGTTTTGTGTTAATTTAAAGATCTCTCTTACCATTTTTACTTTCTTACCACTTTCTTTCCAATTCTGATAATGGATATTTAAATTGAAAGTAATCTCTGACATTTAACTTTTTACGTTTTACGTAGAGTAGCCAATTTGGAGCCATGTTTAATTTTTTTTAATTAATTTTAATGAAAGTTTACAGAGACTTGGTATTTCCAATTATTCATTGTAGAACTTTTCTCCCTGCTCAGTCCTCCCCCTAATTCGCTCTTCTCTTTGAAAAGTAAAAGAAAATTTTTTTCCCTGTTACATAATCCCTCCCCTCACGTCCACTCCATTACGTAGCCTTCATTCTGGACTTCTGTCATGAATAGCTAATCACATATCCCTTTTAAACAGTTTTCTCCCTCATCTGTTTCAGTGCAGTATACATTATTGAACCCATCTTTCTCAGTCTCCTCCAACCCCAAGGACAGTCCTGTTTTACAACAGTGGCACCATGCAGTATTTGTCCTTCTGTGACTGAGATATTTCACTCAACATAATTTCCTCCAGGGTCACTCATTTTGTATAGTTTATGAGTTCCTTGTTTTTCAATGCAGCATAGTATTACACTGTGTGAATGTATACCACAGCGTCTCTATCCTTTCGTTTGTTGATGGGCACTTAGATTGTTTCCAGCACTTTGCTTTTGTGAACAAAGCTGTAATAAACATGGGTGTGTATATATCTGCTTGGGAGGTGGTGATGGTTTCTTTAGGGTATATTCCCAGTAGTGGAGTTGCTGGGTCAGATGGTATTTCTGTTTGCAACTTTTTAACCCACTTGAGGGTCAGCTCTTAGTCAGTTCCAGCTTAGAAGCAATGAGTTGTTGTTTTGTTTATTATTTCATTTACTTAAGTCTGTTAATTTAAAAAAATTTTAAGATGAAAGAAGTGTTTTAGTGTTCTCATTATTTTCCTAAGAAAAAGTAAATATATTCACAGTTAACATACATTGTTAAAAGCAAATATTTATTGATCTAGTATTTGGGTGAATGTTTATCATGGCATTCCAATTCCATCTGTGAACAGAACAAACCCTATGCTTTATGATGAATGTATAAACCTTACGGAGTGTAAAATATACAACAGGGAAATTAAGTAGTGAGAAACATTTTAACATCTGTCTTGGGATTCTTGATTATTTTGTTATTTACTTGAAAACACTTTTTGATAACTATCCTCCATCAACAGATCCATTGCAGATTGGCTCCGAGCTCCTGACACCATGTATTTGCTGGACTTTGTGAAACCAGAATTTCTCTTGCTCAGGGTATGGTGCTTTTGCAGGTCTTCCTTTTGTTCTAGTCTAACAAGTACTCAAGTTCAGTTATGGTTCTCACAAAGAATGTCTTACAGAGAACCTTTTGCTGTTAACTCTCACATGTATCTAGTTGGCAGTGTGGTTTTGCTTATTTTTATAAAAATAAATATAACAGGGAGAAAATTGCGGCAATGAATGAATGGAAATCCAAAACCTCTGTAAAAAAAAAAATTAAAAATTTAATTAAAAAAATAAAATAAATATAACAACAAATTTGCCAGTTTAATTTGCATGTATAATTTAGTGACATTAACTAGGTTCTTTATGTTGGACAGCCGTCACCACTATTTGTTGCCACATTATTTTACCACTACTAACCAAAGCTCAGTGTTCCCCTTCCTTCCTCCTATCATGTGAGCTTTAAGCTCTGAACATATGCCTGTTTCTTCTATTTATGAGCATACAATATCTGACCTGTTTTAACTGACTTATCTCCATCATTATAATAATGTTTTCTGTATTCATCCATCTTGTAGCATGGATGAATATTCCATTGTGTATTTATTTTGTTTATGCATTTGTTGGTGGATGTTTATTGAAATTGCTTTCATTTTTTATAGTGAACGTTGATTTTTAAAAAGTGGCAGTATTCTTTTTGAAATGAGCAGGGTTTTTCGGTTTTGCTTTTAAGTTATTTTTTTAATTGATATTTTAGCAAAAGTTTACAAAAACTTGCGATTTCCGTTCATTCATTGTTGCACATTTTCCTCCCTACCCACCACAGTTCCCTTTTCTCTGTAAAAAGATTCTTTTATTGTTGCAGAATTACCCCCACCCCCGCCCCCTGGCCCTGGACACTTTGCTGTGCACTTCTTATTCTGGACTGTTGTAATGCAAATAATATCTAATTAGATATTTATTTTAAACTGTTCTTTTCCTCATTGATTTAAATGCAGTATTTATTATTTATTTCCTCTTTTCTTAGTTTCCTCCCAACCCCATGTCAGTCCTGTTTTATAACAGTGGCGTTATGCAGTATTTGCCCTTTTGTGACTGAGATATTTCACTCAACATAATGTCCTCCATGGTCACCCATTTTGTATAATATTTTATGAGTTAATTTTTCAGTGCTGCGTAGTATTCCATTGTATACCACAGCAATTTTGCAATTTCTCAAAGGGATTTTAAGAATCCCAGCTATCTTGATATGTAATGTTTTAGAGAGACATTTCCACTTAACATACATTCAAATTTTTTAACAAAGAATTGGATAGGACTTAATTACTGCTTTCTTTTGTATTAGAATACTGTTAAAGGTGAATGCTTACCTATATTGATTGTTTTTTTGGTACTGTTTAGTGCTTTCTTTTCAACTGTAATTTATAAAGACCCTCTGAATAACAGAACTGAACCTTGTGCTGTTTTGCTGTCTTTTATATAAGATATTATAGAGTCCCTATTTATTCCATTTAGGACATTTGCTTAATGAATAGAGAGAGTTGCATTGCCAACCCCAAGGACAGGTGGTTCAAAACCTCCAGCTTCTCTGAGAGAGAATGATAGGCAGTCTCATCCTGTGCAGTTTATCGTCTCAGACTTTACTGGAAAATCAGCTGTTAAGTGGTTGCAACTAAACAGTAACGAGCTGTTAATGTTTTGTTTATTATTATATTTACATAAGAGAAAGTATAACCCTACTTGCTTTCGGAGTTATGTATACTCTCATAAATTTTTGTTGGGTTGTTGTTTTTTTGTTTTTGGGGTGGTGGGGTTTTTTGTGGTATTTCCCCCCACCCTTTTTTTTTAGTTTTTGAGCTCTACTCCTGGCAAGCTTAAATGCTGATCAACTCAATTGTAGTTTTTCTGTGATAGTATTTTAATATTTTAATGAGTAGGTTGGATATACTGGACAATGACTAGGGATGATAGAAGGAGAATTGATGCCTTTAAGCTATGGTGTTGGAGAAGAGTATTGAATATACCATGGACTGCTAAGAGAATGAACAGATTTGTCCTAGAGAAGGTTAAACCAGGCTCTCCTTGGAGGCAAGGATTCTGAAGCTTCATCTGACGTATTTTGGACATATTGCAAGGAGGGACCAGTCCTTGGGAGGGAGTCATGCTTGGTAGGGTGGCGGGACAGCGCAGGAGAGGAAGACCTTCTATGATTCAGTGACTGACGTAATGAGAGTAGGTGTGTCCGAGACAATGAGATTGGCACAGGATAGAGCAAAGTTGAGAGCTGTTGTATGGTCACTCCCAAGTTGCAGGCAACACGACGGCACACAACAGCAGCAGGTTGGATATCATACATTTAATTTTTCCAAATTCCTGTTAGTTTGTAATTGATTCCTAAATTGTTCTGCTTATTAGTATTGTTCTAAAATCTGAGAACTTAGCTTGATCTAATTAGTTTTATCTGTTTTGCATTTTTAAGACCCTTGCTCGATGCCTGATTCTGTGGGATGATATATTACCAAATTCCAAGTGGGTTGATAGCAACGTTCCTCAAGTAAGTATATACAGTAAATATCACTTAATGGCATAAGATATGGTTTATGTAGGAAATTTCCAAACTCTGTACTTCATTCTGGTAAAGGGTTCAACTGCTGACCGAAAGGTTGTGTTTCCAACCTACTAGCTTCTTCATAAGAGACTAATTCTGTTCTTGGGAGTTGAAACCAGATAGTCTGTATGCATATTTTTTAATTAAACAAAAAATTACTTTATTTACTAGAAACCACTGTGAATTGGCTAGGATTATAAGACTTCGTCTGTTTCCAAACCCTGCACTCCACCTCTCCTGTCATGTGGTGGACTTGTGGTAAGGAATTGGCTGCCACCCAGAATTCATGCAGTTCATATCTACCATCTTCACCAAGGTAGAAAGATGTATAGTATCATCCTGGGTGATTTACAGTTTCTAAAAACCCACTGGAAGGGTTTCAGCTTGACAGCACATAGTAATGGCAGCATCACATGAAAAAGTCACTTGTGAGGAATAATTGCAATCTTCAGCACCAAGTTAACACAGAGCACAACTAACCAGGAAGGACCCAAAGTCAAAATTTCATGAGGGCCTGTGTCTTAGATGGAAAGGAATAGTGCCTTTTGACCCTTCTGGGACCCTTCTTCCCATCGGCCCTGTGTGCCTGGCCCTTGTTAATGGTTCTGTGGTATATTGCAGCTAGGTTGCACAGGTACTGTCTAACTGATTGTTAGTCTGTTTTGTGGTGATCTGGCACTTACTGAGAGTTTTTACCCTGGACGGTGGGCCCAGGGCCAGGAGGAAACCGGAGGGACTGTCTGGTACTTACTAAGGGTTTTTACCCTGGACAGTGGTCCCAGGGCCGGGAGGAAACCTGAGGGACTGTCTGGTACTTACTAAGGGTTTTTACCCTGGACAGTGGTCCCAGGGCCGGGAGGAAACCTGAGGACTGTCTGGTACTTACTAAGGGTTTTTGCTCTGGACGGTGGGCCCTGGCATAGGAGGAAACCTGGGTCACTATCTGGCACATATTTTAAGTTCCATGACTCTCCATTACTGTCACCATTTCCAAATCCGTTCATTTTACTTCAGCTGTTTTCACAAATCAGTACACATCTTCGCCCTGTCTCCATTTCCTAGTCCTTGTTGAGAATTCATGCAAAACATTTTCTTTTCCATTTATGTGTTTTATGAGTCAGGAAGTAACCCAACTCATAGCTAGCAATAAATAAGTTATATAAGCAGAGGACATTTACCTTTGTTAGCATGATAGCTCTCTCCAAGGACTGGTTGCTGGAAATGTGCCCAAAGTGAGTGAGATGAAGTTTCATCCTCATTGCCTCTAAAAAGCACTCTTGGTTTCACTTCCTTCAAGACACATTTGTTTATTCTTTTGGCAGTTAATGGTATACTAAATATTCTTTGCCAATACCACAATTCAAAAGTATTGACTCTTCTGGAGCCTTCCTTATTTGTTGGTCTTCCCTAAGTACTAGTGAACTGAAATGGACTGGGACAGGACGTCCACTGTGGCGATTGTGGATGATGCAGATCAGTGTTGCAGAGACTAGTGAGCAGTGCAGCTGAGTGCTGTGTCCTAGTGTCTCAGGAAAGCAGGCCTCCAAAAAGAGAGCCTATGCATTTTTAATACTTAGTTCACTACATGTACTAAAAGGAAAGAGATACTTATTTAAACAATTTTCTAGGTTTAGGCTACCTTGCAAAATTAACATAACACATTATCTCACTCTTGGTAGGTATGTTGACTCAGTGATAAACCATTGCATGAAGCTTAAGATTTTTATTAAGAGTTCTATGCCATTATAATTTACCCCTTCACTATTGCTTCTAGTCATCCTTGCTCCAGTTCTTACCAGCTGTTATCTTGTGTTTAATAACAGTGTGAAATGTTACTTTGTTATTTATAGAGAATATACTTAAACACTCCCGTTTATATCCACTCATTCTCATTCACTGTTACTTCTCTATTGCCCATCTTTGATTTGCAATTGGATTCTGTTTATGTGCTTAAAAGAGAATGCTTTTGAAATGGCTTAGGAATGCTTAATGCTTGTTTTATATAAATGTGGACGTGGTAAGCAGAATATTATTCTCCATAATTCTAAATATTTATAATTTGTACATTAATGTCTAAATATTCTTGCTCATTTTCTTGCAGATTATCAGAGAAAACAGTATCTCTCTCAGTGAAATTGAATTACCTTGCTCTGAGGATTTGAACTTGGAGACTTTGTCGTAAGTACCATAATGCTTCATACTTTGGACATGGTGCTATTGCTTGGAAAGGGATATTGTGAGGAAGACCCCTGAACAAGACAGATTGAAGGGTGCTTGCACCAGAGATGATGAGGACAGCACAGGATAGGACAAGGTTCAGATCTGTTGTTTTTAGGGTTGTTATGTATGAGTTGTACTCAACACATGGTACCGAACAACAGTTACAACACTGGAATGTATAATGTAGATGAACTGCCCTAGTATTGTTAAATTGAAGTACCCTGCTTAAGACTAAAATTCTCCTTGAGTTAGTTTTTCTGAATTCTCAAGCTTATCTCTTATTTATCAAATGCTTGTAGTTTTTGGTTGTGGTTTTTTTTTTGGTTTTGGGGTTTTTTTTTTTGTTAGAATATAGAGCTCTTCCCGTTCACGACCATTATTGACAGTCCTTTCACTTGTGTAAATTAGGCTTTCATCCTTTCTCTCTCTTTTTTTTTTTTGACAATGTTAGTTCACTTTATTTCTCTTACACTAAATCCACTCTGTGGTGGCCACACCTGGGGCCTGTGTGCTCTGCACAGAGACTCCGCTCTGTATCTTTATGAGATAGTCAGTGAATTTCTGGCAGACAGGCTTGGTCTTTTTCCAGAGCTCAGGCATCAGGTAGCTGTAGGTCTTGGAGGTGGCATCAGAGGTGACCTTGGTGAAGTTACTGAGGGTCGCCATGCACCCCCAGACCCAGGAGTAGCAGCTATCAGTTCCCTCAACAGGAGCTTCTTGGGCCTGGGGGCCAATATGATGCCAGTGCCTCGCAGTGCAGGGATGAGGACAACAGCACAGGGCTGCAGCTTGACAGTGCGTTTAAAAAATGTAAAAATAACCTTTTTTAGCTGCATATGAGGTAGTATAGTCAGGAAGCTGACTTTATGAGCAAGGGCCTTTAGAGTGTTTCTGCTAAAGAAACCTGTGACACTCTCCAGAGTATATGGACCAGACCAGCAACAACAAACATGCTTATTATTTTTATGCTAAGATAGTAGTGTGTTTTAAAGTGAAGCATTGGTAGCATTACATTTTGTAATCTATTTTTAGGCAAGCACATGTCTACATAATCGCAGGGGCCTGCCTATCTCTGGGTTTTCGATTTGCTGGATCAGAAAACCTATCCGCATTTAACTGTTTGGTAAGGTATATCTTAGCTTATTATGTTCTTTTATTTTTTAGCAGTCTTCAGATGCTTCTTTTAATGAAATTCTTTCTTTTTTTTTTTCAGCATAAATTTGCAAAAGATTTTATGACTTATTTATCTGCACCTAATGCTTCTATAGTAAGTAATCTTGTGATTAGTTTTGGATAGTAAAATCAAACTTGAAGGAAATGTACTTATTAACGTCAATTACTTCTGTGTAGTAATAAATCTCTCCTGTTTGAGCTTGGGATGGGAAATGTGAATCATTGGGTCTCCCACCTCTCTTTCTTGGTCTGGAGTATTACTAGATTGAGAGCATGATTAGCCTCTGAGAATGCATGGCTGTGAATTCTGCGACAACAGCATAATTAAGAAAGGACAAAACTTTCATGGATTGCCCCTCATTTAATTTTTTACTGAATATTGGAAGTTTTCCTTTTAAAAAATTACTACCTACTAAAGATAAGAATTGCTTTTTGCAGAGAACAACTGTTTTTCAGGTTTTGCTGCTCTGATGACAGGAAGACTATATGGTTTTTTGTTGTTTTTTTTTGTTATAACAATGAATAAATTAATGGCTTTCCCTACATTATAATTTTTTTA